AAAAAAAAAAAGAAAAGAAAGAAATTTAGGGGGTGCCTGGCTGGCTCAGTCGGAAGAGCGTGCAACTCTTGATCTTAGGTCATGGGTTTGAGCCCCACATGGGGGGTAGAGAGTACTTAAAAAAAAAAAAAATTTAAAAAAAAAGAAAACATGATAAATGAAAGAAGCCGCACATAAAAAAAATCATATATTGTATGGTTCCTATGGTTCATTAAGATGAAATGTCTGGGACAGGCAAATCCATACAGAGATTAGTGGTTGCCAGGGGCTAGGAGGTGTTGGGGGAAATGGGTACATGATTGCTAAAGACGGGGTTTCTTTTTGGAGTGATGACAATGTTCTGGAATGAGATAGTGGTGATGGTTGCACAACTCCCTGAATATATTACAAACCACCGATTGCACACTTTATCAGGGTATGCTCAATAAAGCTGTAGTTTGTTTTATGCCATCAGGAGAAAAGGGCCTGGAGCTCAAGGGTAGGACAGACACTTGGAGTTCTTAACCTGGGGGTTGAAGAATCTAAGGCACAAGGAAGTCCCGTGGCAAGTGGTGTAGGCGTGCATGTGCATTTCTCTGGGCCGCAATGTGCCCCACCCGGGTCCCTCACTCTCATGAGTGGACCAGACTGGACTGGGAGAAGCACCATTGAGGCTAGGGGAGTGCCAGTGTTTAGGGGAGTACGGGAGCCAGGCAAGGGGTCTGACTGGTCTTTTGGGACAAAAGCTTCTTTCTGCTCTGAGAAGAGGACCCGACTGGGCCAGGAGATGCTCACCCCGCTGTGCCTGGGACTCCAGCCCCCAGAAACAGGGTCATCTGGGACCACTAATGGTTTTCCCTGCTTTCCAGCTTTTTATTCAATCTTCTTTTTTTTTATTCTTTTTTTTATTGTTTTTTTTATTCAATCTTCTTTTGTCTTCCCTTAATTTTATTTTATTTACTTATTTACTTTTGAGGGGGGAGGTGCAGAGGGAGCGAGAGAGAGAAAATCTTAAGCAGGCTCCACACCCAGCACACGAGCCCCGCACTGGGGCTCGATCTCACTACCCTGAGATCAGGACCTGAGCCAGAATGGAGTCAGTGGCTTAAGGGACTGAGCCACCCAGGTGCCCCTCCCCTTCATTTTAAAGGATCATTCCTCTTTTAAAACTGCACCCAGGCTCTGATTCTGCCCAAACTTCTGCAGGAGCTTTAAAAGGGAACGGCGTCCCCAGAGAGGGCAGCTGGCATGCGGGCCCCTCCTCCTGGGGACCTATCTCCCCAAGGCTTGGGGCTCTCTCTCAAGGAAAGCCTGGCTCTGAACTTTGCTGCCCAGGCTCATCTCAAGCCCTCTTCCAACATGGAGCCTCCCTGAAGGCAGTCCCAACCCCAACTGTGGCAGCCTCCCCTCACTCACTGCCAGGGGGAGCCAGAAGGGTCACCTCAGTGTCGCCCCTCGACCCGGCTCATTTCAAGCCTGTAGGCAGCGCAGGTCGCCCTCTGCTTTCCACACACCCCCATGAGGTCGGCCTTAAATGAAATACTACCTCAATCCCTCTCTGAGGAAGTCAAGAGCCAAGAGCTTTGGAATCGCTTGCCATTTGGTGGAATAAAAGGAGTGAGGGTGGGATCCCACGGCGCCACCAACCAACCAGTGCAGCGCGACCTTCCGCCTGCAGCCCCGGTGCCCACCACTGGGATTCCAAGGGACTGCCTTTCGGTCCCAGCGCCGAGTTATTACCGAGCCCGATTCCACGAGCGGGCAATGACAATGGCCAGGCAAGATTTCCAGACAGCGGGAACAAGACGAGAGGCACAGCCCGGGGGCGGACGGCGAGAATGGCAGAAAGGCGAGGGACAGCGAGCGGGAAAAGCAAGCGCAGGGCCGCGCGCGCCCCGGGAGACAGAGCCTCAGAGAGGAGCTGAGTGGCGCGGCCAGGGCAGAGCAAGATTCCCCGTCGTGCCCCCTCCCGCTCACAGTGGCCAGAACCAGGCTCACAGCACCAAAGCTGGGCTCCCGCGGCCTCCCCAACCCCCCCCGAGACGCTGATTCCTCCCCCACCCCCACACACACCGCGCCTCCGTGGATGCTTACAGGAGTTCCCCCTATTCTTCTAAGGAGACCCCCTTGCCCCCAGCCAACACCGCACGGACCAGCGCCTGCTCCCCAGCCCTGACCCATAAACCCTGAGTTGAAGTGCATACCTGTCTGCGCCGGGTCTGCCCCTGGGTCCCGACTCCCTCCGACCTTGAACTCCCTCACCTTAGCCCCGGGGGCGTCTCAGGCCACACCATGCGGGACATTTCCCTAGACACACCTCTCTGAGCGCACACAGAAAGTACACACACGCGGGGCCCGAGGAGCCTCCGCGCACACACAGACGGGGCACAAGCACGCACTCACGAAGTCACGCCACGCACAAGCAAGGAAGCCCCGCTCCGGGCCACCGGGCTGGGCTTGGGTTCCGAGCGCGCGGCCGGGCGTATCCCCGCCTGCCCCGCCGAACACCTCCCGGTCCACGCCCCCCGCGGCTCTGGACCCGAGGCCCCGCAGGGCAGGGAGCGAGCCGGGCACCGCTACCTGCCGACAGCCCTCCCCTCGCTGAGCCCGCGGCACCCCAGCCTGGGAGCCCACCATTTGGGCAGGGCCGGGGCGGAGAGTGGGTGCCGGGATAAGCGCCCCAGCCCCAGACCGCCCGCGTGTTCCTGCGCCCCTGGCCCTCCGGGCCCTGGATTTGGCCGACCCCCGCGCCGCGGGTGCCCAACTGCCTCCCCCGCCCTGGGTCCAGCGGGGCGAGCGTGTGCAGGGAACGGAGCCCGTTGCTATGCAACCTCCATCCCGCGCCGGCGCCGGCAGCACCGCGCCTCCGGACTCCCGGGCCCGGGGTGCAAGCGCGCCGGACCGGGCCGAGCCCAACTTCCGGAGCCAGGCCGATCTGGACCCAGGGTTCACGTCCCCATCTACTCCGGGCGCCCAAGGGATGCGCCCTACACCCCATCCCCACGCAGCTACCCCCATCTGTGACTGGTTCCCACGGAGCGCCCACACCCAGCAGCCCCAGAAATTGAGGGCAGGAATGGCTCCCTACCTCTTCTTCTTCGAGCCCTTCAGCCCTCCCAGGTTTGCGACCAGCTTCTTCCCCAGGTGGCGCCCACGCCCCCCGCCCCAGCGGCCCCTACCTGAAGCATCACTTTGTACTGCTCCTCCGGTTTCTGAACCACGCACATATTACATCCCATGGTGCTGGCCAGCGAGGGGAGGAGGGCGGGAACGGGAAAACGCCTTTCACTGGCCGGAGTGCGGGACCTCGGGTCCCGGGCCGGGGCCGGGGGCCATACCCTAGCGCAGGGGCGGGCCGCTTAGCGGGGGAGGGGAGGACGCCCCCGAGGGAGGGGCAGCTCCACGCCCCTCGGGTTAACTCCGCTGGCTGAGGCCAGGCGCGGGCATGCTCCCTCGCACCCGGCCAGGAAAAAAAGGGCAGCGGGGGATGGGCGGGCGCGCCGGGCGTTGCTGGGCGACGGCCCCCCA